ATCAGCCTCTTGTAATCCCCTGCACAGCAGCGCTCAGACTGGGAGAGGGCGGGGCAGAACTAGGAGCCAATCAGCAGATCTACATGCGGACAGGAGGAGAGAGCAGAGTGAGCAGAAGGATGAGATTATTGGTTACTTTATTGGCCAATCACAAGCTGGGGACAGGGAGGTGACCAAGCAATAAAGCTAAACTGAATGGCAGAAAAGTCTGGTCGCCAGGCTGGTTTGCGTGGCGGAGCTGTGTAAAACTCAGGACTGGATGGACAGAAATACAAAATCTTATAGCAGCAAATGAGCTCAGGGAACCCGAACAGGACAAACCCCAAGGCTTATTATTACAGGTACCTGTAATACATGCAAACGCCATGCAGGTGGTGCTATGGTTGGGATTTGAACCAACGACCCAAGTACAGCTAGGCAGAAGTGCTAACCACTTAGCTACTGTGCTGCTTATGGAGCGTAACCCCCTTATTAGGGGACACAGTGCTGGGACCCCCCTCTCTCATAATAAGGAGACATTATTTGGTGTTACCTCCTCCTCCTCCCAGGGCACACACTCTCCAGCCTCGTATCCCCAGCAACAGCAGCTGAGAGTAGAGACAACCCTAGGAGTTTCTGTCTCCACTGGGGCTACGAGAAAATGGCCAGCACAATTTAGCCACAACTGACCCGCCCACAGGAGCTGCAAAGAGGGAGCGAGGTCTGCCTTATAAGGGAAATCCCGCCCACTGGGTTTCTCAGAGCAACTACTAGAGGACCAAAGTAAACATTGTCCCTGAAAGAGAAAGTGTAAGGGAAGCGACCATTTCCTTGTAGTTCAACTTATTATTATGATCAACAACAACAATAAAGTTATATCTTTCTACATCAGCCTTTATTTATTTTTAGTACTTCATACAGGAAGTAGCATTTCTTGAGCTGTCTTCAATGCCAGTTGGTGGCCATATTGTTGTAGCCCAAAATGACAGGGAGGAGCTCTAGCAGTGTCAGAATCCTCCTAGGGGGGGGTGGTGAGGTTGAAGAGTGTATGTCCAGTGAGAAGGAGGTAATAATGTCTTCTTATTATGAGAGAAGGGGGTCCCAGCACTTTTGACTGGATGGGGGGTATCATGGACTGGATAGGGGAGATCATGGACTGGATAGGGGGGACCATGGTTTGTACGGGGGGGGGGGGGGGAGAGATCATGGACTGGATGGGGGACATCATGGACTGAATAGAGGGGATCATGGACTGGATGGGGTGGGATCATGGACTGGATGTGGGGGATCATGAACTGGATGGGGGAATCATATACTGGATAGCAGGTATCATGGACTGGATAGGGTGGATCATGGACTGGACGAGGGGGATCAAAGACTGGATGGGGGGATCATATACTGGATAGCAGGTATCATGGACTGGATAGGGTGGATCATGGACTGGACGAGGGGGATCAAAGACTGGATGGGGTGGATCATGGACTGGATAGGGGGGATCAAAGACTGGATAGGGTGGCTCATGAACTGGATGAGGGGGATCATGGACTGGATAGGGGGGATCATGAACTAGATGAGGGGGATCATGGACTGGATAGGGGGGGATCATGAACTGGATGAGGGGGAACATGGACTGGATAGGGGGGATCATGAATTGGATGAGGTGGATCATGGACTGGATAGGGTGGATCATGGACTGGACGGGGGGGATCAAAGACTGGACGGGGGATCATGAACTGGATGAGGGGGATCATGGACTGGATAGGGGGGATCATGAACTGGATGAGGTGGATCATGGACTAGATAGGGTGGATCATGGACTGGACGGGGGGGATCAAAGACTGGATAGGGTGGCTCATAAACTGGATGAAGGGGATCATGGACTGGATGAGGTGGATCATGGACTGGATAGGGTGGATCATGGACTGGACGGGGGGATCAAAGACTGGATAGGGGGGGGGATCATGGACTGGATGGGGAGGATCATGTCCACAAATCATTATCTTCCTGCAGGTCCTTTAAACATTAGATGGTGAGCTCCGCTGGGGCTGACGTATTCTCCAAAAATATGAACATCGATGAAGATAGAATCCTGCTGCTGGGACGAAGAAAGGGGGTCTGGCGGTAGAAAACCCCCCGTAGGGTTCATAGATCATTTAGTGCGTCATGTGATCAGGTACGTCACTGGGGATTACTAAGCCTTCCCAAGGCTAGGGCTCGTGATGATCTATTTTGTATATGTCCAACAGGACACTAGGTTCGAGAAATTCTTCGACATTGACACCAAGACAGGAAGTGAGGAGACATTTTCCTAGTGAAACCTTAGACTGCCATTAAAGTCAACAAGAAGGAAAGAAAGAGCGCCTTGAAGTGTAATAACACAAAATCATTTATTAATAATCCAAAATGGCCACTCACACGACACAAACACGGGAAAAAGCTCTTTAAAGAGATGAAGGTCTGTGGTACTGCTCTAAACGCCAGTCTGGAAGCCGCTGGACGAGATGTGAAGAGGAGAAGAGGAAGTCCAACCACTCAGTTCCATGCGCACCTCCTGCAGTTACATCATCCCAATCCATGCAGCGCTCCATGAACTTCCTGTTTCTCTCTGGTTGTTATGGCATTGAATGGTTGGCCTTCCTCTTCTCCCTGACAGACTTCAGATCTCACCCAGCGGCTTCCTGACTGGTGTTCAGAGCGGTACCGCAGACCTTCATCTCATTGGTGAGCTTTTTTAGAATATTGATAAATGGTTCTTGTGTTTTTTACACTTCAAGGCGCTCTCCCTTTCCTTCTTGTTGACTTTAATGGCAGTGTAAGGTTTCACTAGAAAAATTTCTCCTCACTTTCTGTCTTGGTGACAACATTGAAGAATGTCTCTAACACAATGTCCTGCTGGGGGCCCCAGGAAGGATGTTAGGGAAAATCTGCAACAGACACAACGTAATACAAAATCTAACGGGGGTTCCAGCTTTCTCATATTCTTCTACAAATAATACTTTTATAACTGTTTGTGTGTCTCTGATGGAGATTTCCCCTCACTTCTCTCCTGGTGGCAATGTTGTCACCAGAACATGAAGTAAGTGGAAGGCTGCCCAATGGTGTCACTAGATGTGACAGATGTTTTACTCCTTCCTTGTTCTACCTCACTGCCGTGGTTTTATCCATGGTGTTCAGGAAGGTCTTCTGATCATTCAGAAGATAGAAACCTGCAGTTGACTCCAAGATACATTTTAGAATCGTATTTGTGATGGACCACCTGACATCCCGACTGGGTATCTCCACCAAACTACAGCTTCCTCCACTCTGGAACCAAAATATAGCAAACTTACCCCAAGCATCAGACGCAACCAATGTTGGAATAAAACAAGGACTGATTTTATTAACAAACAGCATTTATACACAAAACCCTTCCCCCCTAGACAGGTACGGCCCACATTACAATTCCGGGACAAAATTACATTTCATAAACAAACAAACACAAGAAAACAATGTATTCCTTCCCGGCACCTAGCAGCCTGGACTCTGGAGAGGATTAAACAAGGTGAGAGCTTATCCACTAAACCTAATTACAGCAAACAATAGTTGATGCCAGGAAACCTGGAACAGAAAGTGAAGTTTCTTAATCCCACATATGCTGGAATTTACCCCACCCCCCTCACATAGTTCCACTATGCACAGTATGCCAAGAGGTCCCAGAAACAGTCCCTCCAGCCCCAATTGCATGGAAAGGGTAGCTGGTAAAATTCACGGCCAGCCAGGAACCCAGGCAGGTGATATAACCCTCTTGGGGAGAAGGTTCCTTGTAACCCCAAGAGGGAGGGGGCTCCTTATTCCTGGGTCCATAATTGGTGGGAAGTTGGCTAGCCTCCAGGTTTCTAGTAATGCCAAGAGGAGGGTCTCCTTAGTCCTGGGTCCATAGTCGGTGGGAAGGAGGGTAGCCTCCAGGTTCCTAGTAATGCCAAGAGGAGGGTCTCCATTAGTCCTGGGTCCATTGTTGGTGGGTAGGAGGCTGGTCTCTGGACTCCTAGTAACCCCAAGAGGGGGGTCTCCTTAGTCCTGGGTCCGTAGCCGGTAGGAAGGAAGCTGGCCTCAAGATTCCTTGTAACCCCAACAGGGGGGGTCTCCTTAGGCCTAGGTCTATAGTCGGTGGGAAGATAGCTGGCCTCCAGGTTCCTTGTAACACCAACACGGGGGTCTCCTTAGTCCTGGGTCCATAGTCGGTGGGAAGGAGGCTGGCCTCCAGGTTCTTAGTAACACCAAGAGGGGGAGTCTCCTTAGTCCTGGGTCCATAGTCGGTGGGAAGGCGGCTGGCCTTCATGTTCCTAGTAACCCCAAGAGAGGGTCTCGCTAGTCCTGGCTCCATAGTCGGTGGGAAGGAGGCTGGCCTCCAGGTTCCTAGTAACCCCAAGAGGGGGTCTTCTTAGTCCTGGGTCCGTAGTCAGTGGGAAGGAAGGTGGACTCCAGGTTCCTTGTAACCGCCACAGGGGGGTCTCCTTGGTCCTAAGTCCATAGTCGGTGGGAAGGCAGCTGGCCTCCAGGTTCCTAGTAACCCCAAGAGGGGGGTCTCCTTAGTCCTGGGTCCATATTCGGTGGGAAGGCGGCTGGCCTCCAGGTTCCTAGTAACCCCAAGAGGGGGATCTCCTTAGTCCTGGGTCCTGAGTCGGTGGGAAGGCGGCTGGCCTCCAGGTTCCTAGTAACCCCAAGAGGGGGATCTTCTTAGTCCTGGGTCCATAGTCGGAGGGAAGGCGGCTGGCCTCCAGGTTCCTAGTAACCCCAAGAGGGTGGTCTCCTTAGTCCTGGGTCCATAGTCGGTGGGAAGGCAGCTGGCCCCCAGGCCCCTCCAGCAGCCCAAGTCACCGTGGTTTCCGTGACAGTATTATTTTAAGGTGCAGTAATAATGTGTTATATTAGCAATTATATTTTTTGTTAAATTGCAGAAACAAACTTTACATACCAGAAAGTTTACTCAACATGGACATATAAAGAAGTCTGTAGAAAAACATAAGGACGAGGATGTCATCATGGAGGACCATCAGTCTGTTAAATCTTCAGGTAAGAGATACCGTTGGGTTTGAGACCAACTTTGGGGGCTGAGATGCCCCGATAGTTTGCTGAGAAAGGATTGGAAGAAAATTGACTTGAACAAACTTCTGATGACAACCCAAACAAACACGTGAGGTTAATTGGACACTTCGAAGCAGGCCTGATTACCCAAAATCACTGTCCAACCACAGGAGCAAAGACCTTGCTTTGCCGACTGAGCAAAAGCAAACCCAACCAACAATGATACAGCATGTCATGGAGCTCCCCCCAAAAGAGTAGAGGCTTCAATAGCAACATCCAAGATGGACCAATGTAACTATGTAAAAAATTGCCGTACGTAAACCTCGGCTTTAATATCTTTGGCTTTAAAATGATGAAAAGTCTAAATATTTTTGGCCAGATAGGACTTTCAACAGCAAATATAATCAGTCTACTAAATGGTCTTCAGAAAGCATGGCAAACGTATTGGGATCCATCTAGATCAGGGGTCTCCAATCTGTGGCCCGAGGGCTGGATGTGGCCCTTTGCTAGCCTTTATCCGGCCCTTGGGGCACTATTCCTCCCAATGATATGAGGTGCTATTCCTCCCACTGACATCAACAATGGGGCACTATTTCTTTCACTGATACCAATGCTGGGGCATTATTCCTTCCATTGATACCAATGATGGGGCACTGTTCCTCCCACTGATACCAATGATGGGGCACTGTTCCTCCCACTGATACCAATGATGGGGCACTATTCCTCCCACTGATACCAATGATGGGGCACTATTCTTCCCACTGATACCAATGATGGGGCACTATTCCTCCCACTGATACCAATGATGGGGCACTATTCCTCCCACTGATACCAATGATGGGGCACTATTCTTCCCACTGATACCAATGATGGGGCATTATTCCTCCCACTGATACCAATGATGGGGCACTATTCCTCCCACTGATACCAATGATGGGGCACTATTCCTCCCACTGATACCAATGATGGGGCACTATTCCTCCCACTGATACCAATGATGGGGCACTATTCCTCCCACTGATACCAATGATGGGGCACTATTCCTCCCACTGATACCAATGATGGGGCACTATTCCTCCCACTGATACCAATGATGGGGCACTATTCCTCCCACTGATAACAATGATGGGGCACTATTCCTCCCACTGATACCAATGATGGGGCACTATTCCTCCCACTGATACCAATGATGGGGCACTATTCCTCCCACTGATACCAATGATGGGGCACTATTCCTCCCATTCATACCAATGATGGGGCACTATTCCTCCCACTAATACCAATGATGGGGCATTATTCCTCCCATTGATACCAATGATGGGGCACTATTCCTCCCACTGATACCAATGATGGGGCACTATTCCTCCCACTGATACCAATGATGGGGCACTATTCCTCCCATTAATACCAATGATGGGGCACTATTCCTCCCATTAATACCAATGATGGGGCATTATTCTTCCCATTAATACCAATGATGGGGCACTATTCCTCCCATTAATACCAATGATAGGGCATTATTCCTCCCATTGATACCAATGATGGGGCATTATTCCTCCCATTGATACCAATGATGGGGCATTATTCCTCCCATTAATACCAATGATGGGGCATTATTCCTCCCACTGATTCCAATGATGGGGCACTATTCCTCCCATTAATACCAATGATGGGGCAATGATGGGGCATTATTCCTCCCATTAATACCAATGATGGGGCATTATTCCTCCCATTAATACCAATGATGGGGCATATTCCTCCCATTCATCCCCCACTGATACCAATGATGGGGCACTATTCCTCCCATTAATACCAATGATGGGGCACTATTCCCCCCATTAACCACTCTCCTACTGGGCACTCATACCCCCTTCTTGACCAGGCCAATTTTCAGCTTCCAGCGCTGTCGCACTTTGACAATTGCGCGGTCATGCAAGATTGTACCCATATGAAATTTTTATCATTTTTTTCTCACAAATAGAGCTTTCTTTTGGTGGTATTTAATCACCGCTGGGCACTTTACTATTTGCGCTATAAACAAAAAATGTGCAAAAAAAAAAAAAAAAGTTTCTTTGTTTCTATTATGAAATTTTGCAAACAGGTAATTTTTCTCCTTCACTGATGTGCGTTGATAAGGCTGCACTGATGGGCACTAATACGCGGCACTGATGGGCACTGCACTGATGGGCACTGATAGGCAGCACTAATGAGGTGGCACGGATAGGCGGCACTGATAGGCAGCACTAATGAGATGTCACGGATAGGTGGCACTGACTGGCATCACTGCTAGGCATTGACTGGCGCAACTGCTGGGCACGGACTGGCACAACCGCTGGGCACTGACTGGTGGCACTGACTGGTAGCACTGCTGGGCTGCACTGATGGGCACGTGTGGGTGGCACAGGTGGGCGGCACTTCTGGGCACAGGTGTGTGGCACTACTGGGCACAGGTGGGCGCACTGCTGGGCACAGGTGGGCGGAACTGGTGGGTGGCACTGCTGGGCACCGATCATCGGGGGCACTGATCATCAGTGCCCCGATGATTGGTGCCAATCCCTGCTCTGACAACTGCCGGTTCTCGGCAGTACTTTCCTCACGCTCTGACAGCGTGAGGAAAGTGCAGCCGAGAACCGGCAATTGCATTTCCCGGTGATCAGCATGTCATTGGACACAGCTGATCACGTGGTAAAAGGCCGCTGTGATTGGCCTTTTACCACATCACGTGATCAGCTGTGTCCGTAGGACACGGCGATCACGGAGATCGCCGGATGCGCGCCCCCGGGGGCGCACAGGAGAGCGCGTTCTGGGAGGACGTCATATGATGCCCTCCCAGAACTGGCTGGCCGCAGTGTAGCCGTCATTCGGCTATCTGCGGTTAGCAAGTAGTTAATACCAATGATGGGGCATTATTCTTCCCATTAATACCAATGATGGGGCACTGTTCCTTCCATTAATACCAATGATGGGTATTAATGGGAGGAATAGTACCTCATGTCTATTTTTACTGATGCTGGGCCCGGGACATTCTCTATCCCCACTGGTCACAATCTGGCCCTCCTAAAGTTTGAAAGACAGGCCCTTTGTTTGAAAAGTTTGGAGACCCCTGATCTAGATTAATCATCTTCTGATATAGACATAGAAACAATATATATCTTTAAAGTGTGTGTGTTTCTTACAGATGGATCCAGTAATGGGAACTCACCAGAGAGATGTCCCCGTCCTCTGTATTCCCCGGACTCCACACAGGAACATCAGGAGATCCCTCAGGAGGATCAGGAAGATGAGAAGGTAAAAGAAACCAAGAGTCTTCACAAATATTGCAGCCCTTCTTCTCAATGTTCTGCACTTGCTAGACTTTTTCCTGGAATACTGTTCTGTGTAATATGAGATAACCAATGTGCAATATTTTTTACTTTATGTCATTTAGGATGAAAATCTGGTTTATGTCAAAGTTGAGGTTAAAGAGGAAGCAGACGAGACAGATGGGAGGGATAATAAGGCGGAGGAGATTCCTGTAGAGATTGGCACAGGTGAGTAGTAAACCCTAACTCCTTGGCGCCGATGGTATGCAAATATATGGCTTCTCGGCGGCTGGGCCTTGACTCCGAGAGGCCGCATATTTGCGTACCCAATGTAAACAAACATACCGACAGCGAGTGCCCTGCGCTCTCTGACACCTCTTGGAGAGGTCCCTATCGCTACTTGCAATCAGGTACTTTCCGATCATGTTACTGCTGTGACAGCCATTCACGGTCACATGACCCTAAACCCCACCCCCGCCTCCTGGCATCACAAACACCTTAAAGGACCAAGAGGCTCAGGTGCCAAGGGGTTAAAGTGTTACTAAACCCACAACCCCCAATTATGGTGGTCACATGACCATAAACCCCGCCCCCTCCTCCTGGCATCACAAACCCCTTAAAGGGCCGGGAGGTGCCGGTGCCAAGGGGTTAAAGTGTTACTAAACCCACAACAGTCTGTATATGCAGTAAAGCATGCTTGTTATACTCACCGTGGAACCTAAGGGGTTAATCCTCCACATTGTGTGAAAAGCCTGTTTGACCCTATCTTCTCTGATCCTCCCCTTCTTCTACTGTCCCCAATCCATCTGCTGATAGAACAGAGCCTTGAGGTCAAGCTGCACATGCTCAGTTTGGTGTGTATTGCTAGAGTTATTTTTTTTTTCTTCCTGGGAGAGTGCATGTGATCAGCACAGGGCCAATTAGAGGGCCAGGGGTTATGCAGCCTCATAGGACAATCAGGGGAGAATGAAAACTCCTCCTACAAGCTTTAACCAGTGCTGGGCTGGACACTGATAGAAGTCACAAAACTGCTATATACTGCTGATTAGAAAAGGTATTTAGCAGTTTATATTTACTAAAATAATTGCACTTCCATGTTCTATGTACTGTGGGAGACCAGATATAATGAATGCAGGGTCCGGGGAGAGAGGATATAGTGAATGCAGGGTCCAGGGAGAGCGGATATAGTGAATGGAGGGTCCGGGGAGACCGGATATAGTGAATGCAGGGTCCATGGAGAGCGCTATAGTGAATGCAGGGTCCCGGGAGAGTGAATATAGTGAATGCAGGGTCCTGGGAGAGTGGATATAGTGAATGCAGGGTCCGGGGATAGCGAATATAGTGAATGCAGGGTCCTGGGTATAGTGACACTTTAAGGACGCTGTGTGAACCCCACTGAAAAACCTAATGGGAAGTGTCCACCTCACCAGGCACAATATGGGCGCCCTAATAGTTATTCTCTCATTCTAGAGGAAGGCAAGAGGGCTTGCAACTTGACAAGTCACATGACCATTGTGACAGTAGTGAATGCAGGATCGTGGGTTTAGTAACACTTTAAAATAAGATTCCTCATTATTTCTTCTTCGTCCCTTATTTCCTCCAGATGGACGATACAGAAAGTGCAACATGGAGAAACATCTCATTATAACTCAAGATGGTGAAACAGAAGACGATGAGATCCCCGAAGATTACACAGGAGAGAGCCCCACGATGCCAAACCACCCTGTAGAGAAGCCATATTCATGCGACAAATGTAGAAAGTGTTTCACTCAAAAATCTTTTCTCCAGAGGCATCAGAAATGGCACAGCGGCGATAAGCCCCATTCCTGCCCTGTGTGTGGGAAATGCTTTACGCAAAAATCCGATGTTGTCAGACATCAGAGGACTCACACAGGAGAGAAGCCATATCCATGTTTCAAGTGCGGGAAATGCTTTTCTCAAAAGTCTTTTCTCATAAGACACGAGAAAGTTCACACAGGGGAGAAGCCGTATGCCTGTTCTGAATGCGGGAAGTGTTTTACGGAAAAGTCAACTCTGGTCATCCATGAAAGAAGCCACACCGCTGAGAAGCCTTTTTCCTGCTCCGACTGTGGTGAATGCTTCCCTAGGAAAGACAGCCTTTTGGCGCACCAGAGGTCTCACACGGGCGAGAAGCCCTTTTCATGCTCCGTGTGCGGGAAATGCGTCTCTTCCAAATCTCAGCTTATTAGGCACCACAGAATTCACACGGGGAGAAACCTTTTTCGTGTCCGATCTGCGGGAAATGCTTCACCCACAAGTCAAACCTTGTTTACCACGAGAGGACTCACACAGCTGAGAAGCCACACACGTGTCCCGAATGCGGAAAATGTTTCACCCAGATAGGGAACCTTATTTCACACCAGAGGTCCCATTCGGGGGAGAAGCCGTTTTTCTGCGCCGAGTGCGGCGAATGTTTCTCCAGGAAGTCGTCCCTCAGCAGACATAGAAAAGTCCACACCGGGGAGAAGCCGTATACGTGTCTCGAGTGCGGGAAGTCTTTTGCCGAAAAGTCGCACCTGGTCACACATGAAAGAATTCACACCGGAGACCGGCCATTTTCCTGTTCCCATTGTGGGAAAAGCTTTACGGATAAATCGGATCTGGTTAAGCACATTAAACGCGTTCACGTTCTGACCATGGAAAACGGATCCCAGCAGGATCCTTCCTTATCTGATATCTAGAGGAGACAAGAGGTCCTTGAGTTTAAGATGGATGGTTTGCATCGCGACGGTTGACAAAAACTGTAGACTCAAAATCTAGGTGCTCCTTCAACAGGAAGGATGGCATTAGAATCAGCGTACGCTTAGACGTAGAAAGTCTACCATGAACCTGTGGCTATGCCCATGGAACCACTTGGAGCTTCTACAGGGCTTGAGGACAACCCCATGGCATAGGATGTCTCGAGGGCGGGAAATGTTTGGAGGAGGAGTGTGGGATACATGCTCCCCCCATACCAAAAAGTACTAGTTATTTTATTCTCACTCCTGTCTGCTAAACAAAACGTTGAGGAAGCGTGGGACAGGCCAGTAGGCTGGGGCTGTCATTAAAATTAAACTGTTGCTTTAGGTGAAAACTCATATCGGAGAACCTCGGATTCATTTTACAGCACCTTAAAAAAAAAAAAAAAGCTCCTATTTTCAGACTTCATTTTTGTTTTCTGATTCCCGATTGTTGTAAAAATGTATAATAAAAAACAGTAAAATTACAAATATAATTAAAAGGGAAAAAATCATTGAAAATGATCAAGTTGCTCGAATATGATGATAATATTCTTAAATTATGTGCGGAAAGACAATTTGCTCAGATTGTATGTGAAGGCAATTTTATTTTTAGTTTTGAATAGAGTAGGGAAACCTTAGACTCTTTGAAAATTTTTTATTGCTGTCTGGGTTCCCATTCGGGAGATTCACCTCTATTTGTATATCTACCCCCTTAAAAGTTTTCATGAGTGCCGGGAGTACAGCTGTCTCTATACTTCTTGTATGTGAAGGCAGTTTTAGTTTTGGATAGAGTAGGGAAGCCTTAGACCCTTTGACAAGTTTTTATTGTTGTCTGTGTTCCCTTTTGGGAGATTCACCTCTCTATTTGTATATCTACCCCCTTGAAAGTTTTCCTGAGTGCCAGGAGTACAGCTATCTCTATACTGCCTGCCTGGAGCGATGCTGCTTCCTCGTACTGGAGCTGCTCTGCCGTCCGTCCCTCCCCTTCTGCTGTCCATTCACAGAAGTCTTTGTATTTTGTGAATAGGTTGACAGAATGCAAGGTTATCCGTGATTGGGCAAGAGGAGGGTTGTGCAGAGTGACTGTACACAAATCTGCAGCTGCAGAAGCTGAGACCAGAAGGCTTTAGCCATGCTCCTGGTGCTTAGTAGAAATGTCTGTGTTCCCACTGGGGAGATTAACCTCTATTTGTATATCTACCCCCTTGAAAGTTTTCCTGAGTGCCGGGAGTACAGCTATCTCTATACTTCTTGTATGTGAAGACAATTTTATTTTTATTTTTCGATAGAGTAGGGAAGCCTTACACCCTTTGACAAGTTTTTATTGCTTTCTGTGTTCCCACTGGGTAGATTCACCTCTCTATTTGTATATATACCCCCTTGAAAGTTTTCCTGAGTGCCGGGATTACAGCTATCTCTATACTCCCGGCCCTCTGCCTGGAGAGATGCTGCTTCCTCATACTGGAGCTGCTCTTCTGCTGTCCATTCACAGAAGCCTTTGTATTTTGTGAATGGGTTGACAGAATGGAGGTTATCCATGATTGGGCAACAGGATTGTGCAGAGTGGCTGCACATGAATCTGCAGCTGCAGAAGATGAGACTAGAAGGCTTTAGCCATGCTCCTGGTGCTTAGTAGAAATGTCTGTGTTCCCGTTTGGGAGATTCACCTCTATTTGTATATCTACCCCCTTGAAAGTTTTCCTGAGTGCCGAGAGTACAGCTATCTCTATACTCCTTGCATTCTGCCAGGAGAGATGATGCTTCCTCATACTGAAGCTGCTTTGCCATCCCCCCTTCTGTTCTCCATTCACAGAAGCCTTTAGTTTTTTTTCAATAGGTTGACAAAATGCAAGGCTATCCATGACTGAGCAAGAGGAGGGGTGTGCAGAGCCACTGCACACGACTTTACAGACTTGCAGAAACTGAGACCAGAAGGCGATAGTTTTGCTCCTGATGCTTAGTAGAAATGTAGGTTGTAAAATTAACCCTGCTGGATCACTTCCACACACTGCAGCCTCCCCTTGTGCGTTCCCCAGCCTTGTTTCCCCGGGCTCCATGCGCCTGTTCACGTACCTAAGACCAGCATGTCAGGTGCCACCAGGTAGAGAGGAGGGAGACCAACAAACGCCGCTGCTTTCCTCTTCCTGCCCCTGATGATGTAATTTGTGACAAAACACATAGGGTGGACCTGGAGGCCATGACGTCATCATGCATGAATGCATACCTCGTGGAATTCTGGGATGTGTACTTTCTTATATGCTTTTATGCACATCATCTATGTAAGTATTTCTTACTGATTTAAAATTAAATATATGCTGGAGTTACACTACTGCAGAAGTCTTTTTGCCTTTTTATACACTGCTCAAAAAAATGAAAGGAACACTTGAAAACACATCAGAACTCGATGGGAAAAATCTCCTGCTGGATCTCTATATGGATATGGACTGGGTAATGTGTTAGGAACGTAAGGATACCGCATCATTTGATGGAAATGAGAATAATCGACCTACAGAGGCCTGAATTCAAAGACACCCCGAAAATCAAAGTGAAAAAATAATGCAGCGGGCGAGTCCATTTTGGTGAAATGTCATGCAGCAACTCAGAATGGTCCTCAGTAGTTTGTATGGCCCCCACATGCTTGTATGCATGCCTGACAACATTGGGGGAGGCTCCTAATGAGACTACGGATGGTGTCCTGGGGTATTTTCTCCCAGATCTGGACCAGGGCATCACTGAGCTCCTGGACAGTCTGAGGTGCAACCAGGCGTCGGATGGACTCATGACATCCCAGAGGTGTTCTATTGGATTTCGGTCAGGAGTGCGTGGGGGCCATTCAATGGTATCAATTCCTTCATCCTCCAGGAATTGCCTGCACACTCTCTCAGCATGATAAATCAGTAGCAGGACCATTTCCTACCAATCAGAGATGAGGGTCATTTGAGTGAAGAAATTATGTTTCCCTAAGCAGGCTAAAATACAGTGTTCAAAAATGATAACAGTTCCAGTTTGCATTACACAAATGGTAAATATGCCTATGCTGCCCTACTAACAACGGTTAGCCTACAGTCAACACCATACTTACCGTGAGGCAAACAAGGTGTTTGTCTTGGGCAGCAATTTTCAGGGGGGCTGTGTCACCCCCTCCCCAACCTTAACAAGGGACACGTGGCAGGGATGGGGACCTGGTGAGGCTTAGCCATGGAATCCAAGGAAACTGGAGACTGTAAGCTTCCCGCACAAGGAAGGAAGACACTGGGCTAGGCTCTGGGGAAGGCCGGTGCGGCTAAGGTTACTGCATGACTAACTCTCTCTGCAGGTGCTATGGGGGGTTGTGGTTGGCTGAAAGTAACGGTGGTGGGGGTCAGGGGGGTAGTTGGTGGAGAGTGGCAGTGGTGGGGCCTTGGGGGTGGTAATTGGCAGATAGTGGCGGTGGCGGGTACCTGCAGGAGGCAGTTGGTGGAGAGTGCTGAGGACCTGAGGGGAGGTAGTTGGTGGAGAGTGGTGAAGGCCTGGGGGGGAGGGAGGTGGTGTTGGGGGGCGTCCAATTTTAGTGTTGCCTAAGGCAGTACAAGAACTAAATACACCACTGCCGACAGCTAGCTAGCATAACTGACAGAAGCAATGTTGTGTTTCATTCCAAAACTGAATTTACTTCTGTAAATAGTTCTGTAAAACTGCAATACAAATCACATAAACTGAAATTACAATATGCTTGTAAACATGTCTCTCACAAATGCATACAATGAACACATTTCTTGCAAACAGCTACCTACAAATCACATTGAATACATTTATCAAGCTATGTATGTGATTTTGACAAACACACAGAACTTGACAGTCATATGTTTATCAAAGGGAGAATGGAGGAGACCTTCACCGGAGTTCTTCTAGAAGCTGAAAATGGAACTGCAGTGGTAAATGTGAAATTTTTATTTTTTTTTACAAACACTTACTGTTATTTATTAATAAGAATACAAAAGGGTGCATTTGCAGTGAATGCCCAATAGATGGCTCCCTGCTCAACACAATCATGATATACAGAACAATGCACATCAGACAATAATTTTTATTAACTTTTCGCAAAGAAAAAAAGTAAACACAAAAACATAAGAGCATATATATAACCACTCCAGTGTTGCAAATAATTCCATCATGGCCTACAAGTCTATGTCTGACAAAAAGTGATCGCTGATTATTCAGAAGATATGGCCGTAAAATTTAATTCATAAGTGGTTATTTTTTTCCGAATGACCCCATATATTACATAGTTAAAGACAATGGGCTTAAAAGGCATCCAAAGACCTTGAACATACCTTGTATGCACCTAGGGCTTTCAACCCCGTTCCACCAACTCTACCTAGTGAGATTGCCAGGATTGTCAGTAAGCCGGATGTCACTATATGCGGTGGGGACAGCTGCATATAAAGGAACCGATCTCTAAATGTTCCTGCTGCGGCCACTGAATGTCTGCAGGAAGGAGAGCAGGAGAAGCGGGCAATCAGCAGCTGCAGGAGGAACACAGAAAGATCTGTTCCTCTATATGCAGCCGCCCCCTCCGCTCATCCTACCTAGCTTTTTATGCTGCCCCCTCGTGTGCCCTCCTGCCCCCTGTGCTCTCTTTCTTGGCTCCTCTTCGTCCCCCGCTGCTCTGCGAGGTTTTCTCCCCTTTCCTACCAGCTGCTGCAGGGGATCTGTCAGGATAGAGACTAGGGAAGGGGGCCAATAAATGTGTCATTTACCTGCCCCTTCCTTTTCAGAATGGAGGGTCAGTGATCGGTACCGATTACCGACTCTGTCCATTCACAACTGAAATGGACCCTTGTAGGTACGCCCCTGGAGTTGAAATTTTCCGAAAGGAATACTAGTCTAGTGACCTGGGGGCCCCTAGTGAATTCCCTTAATTTGCAGAGATTTTCTCACTTCCTGTTTTGGCTATGGGACTGGAAGTGAAGGTAAACCTCCCCAATTGGACACAGATGGCAAAAAAAATAAACTGATGGGTTATAACCCTCCCAACATGAAAAAAAAAGTTTTGCCTATAGTTCTACTTCAAATACTTTTTGTGACTCAAAGATTTGCTGCCTGGAGATCCTGCCAGTAACAGCACTTCTTGTTTCAGGCTAACAACGCTAAGCCACTGCCTTGAAATTAGCAGCAGTGTTGTTGCCCTGGCATGTGTGCTTCTTTAGTTGGCTATTGGGCCTCCTGCAGGCCTGATAGGCAGCCTAACGGCCAAATGGAGCAGTGCACACAGCATGTGGCATTGTGTCCTTGTATAAGAGATCTCTTCTCACTTTCTATTTGATGGTTTTCAGACAGAACAAAAGAGTTAGTGAAATCTCCCAATGGGTACCCAGGCAAATAAAAATCTGACAGAGGTTCAACCCTCCCGGTACAAGAGACACAGCAAGCATTACAAAATTGACAGGGATTCTAAAACATCCTCCATGAGATCGTCCATGGATCTCTCTTTTCTGACGTGAAAACTGACTATATACGATACGGGGGAGGATTCTGTAAAAAATTCTCTCACAATCAGAAGATGAGCACATCGGTTTCATACAAGCTTGGCCCTGACAGTGTGCAGCAAGGTTTGACCTCTTGGTTAAACCTTTCCTGCACAAGAGCTGGGGATAACCCATGTATATTATTTGATGAGCGTCTTCAGTCAAACATTTTCCACACTTAGGATATAACTATGGCTTCTCCAGCGTTTCCATACACGCTTACAGTAGACGATTTCCTAGAAAAGAATGAATCACATCTGAAACAAAGAAACGTTTCACCGCCTGAGTTGTCTGGTGCCTATCAAGATTTGTTTGTTTAGGATATCACATTCCAAACATGATTTCAAAACAGTTCCCACATTCTGAATATAGAAAAGTCCTCACTGGTATGAAATTTTTCCCGCACAAGAGCAGGAACTTTGGAGATGGCTACTGTAAAATTATGGATGAGCTCCTACAGTAATACATCCTCCCCATTCAAACAAGACCATGGCTTCTTCTGTTTTTCATTTCTTACATAGGATACATTTTCAAGAAACTCATAACATCTGGGAGAACCCTTTCCCTGCATGGGTTGTCCTGTGCCTATCAAAATCTCATCTTTTTGCATATCATTTCCCAGAATCTAAATACAAGTACAACTTTTCCCCTGTGTAGGCCCTCTGGTCATCAACAAGTAAAAACTTAGATGAGTAGCACCTCCCAAATTTGGAGCATAACTAAAGCTTATTCCTGGCAGGAGTCCTCTGATGGACTTTTAAGATGTCCTTTCTGAGTAAAAATATTTCCCACATAAAAATGTCCCTTGTGTGAAACCTTTCCCACACAAGAGCAGGAACTTTGGAGATGGCTACTGTAAAATTATGGATAAGCTCCTACGGTAAAACACCCTCCCCATTCAAAACAAGACTATGGCTTCTGTTTTTCATTTCTTACATAGAATACATTTTCAAGAAAACTCATAAAATCTGGAAGAACCCTTTCCCTGCATGGGTTGTCCTGTGCCTATCAAAATTTGATCTTTTTGCATATCATTTCCCAGAATCGAAACACAAGTACAACTTCTCAAAGAAATAGGACACTTCTTTCTTCCTGCGCTTGGGGAGTGGGCCCAATGGCATTAATGGGCTATAGTCAAACACTTGGCCTTCATGGGGTGCACTTGCCTTGCTGCCCTCACAAGACTGGGGAGGTCTATGAACACTGTAGTAACGATAAACAAACAGAGGGTGCATCAGCCTAGTGCATTAACCTTAAAATAGTAGATTTATTGTAAAAAGGTAAGTATTATACTCACAAAGTAATAAAAAGTGCAGATACATCTCATTGTTACAGCACAAACAGTCCACAAAGCATCAAGGTGGACAGAAACGATGGAATATCTAGAGGCTGCTAGATGCCTCTAGATGTTCCATCGTTTCTGTCCACGTTGATGCTCTGCGGACTGTTTGTGCTGTACCAATGAGATGTATTTGCACTTTTTATTACTTTATGAGTATAATACTTACCTTTTTACAATAAATCTACTATTTTAAGGTTAATACACTAGGCCGGTGCGCCCTCTGTTTGTTTATCACTACTACAACTTCTCCCCTGTGTATGCCCTCCGGTCATTAACAAGTAAAAACTTAGATGAGTAGCACCTCTTGAATTTGGAGCATAACTAAGGCTTATTGCTGGTTATGAGTCCTCTCATGGAAGTTAAGATGTCCTTTCTGAGTAAAATATTTCCCACATAAAAAGTCCCTGGTGTGAAACCTTTCCCACACAAGAGCAGGAACTTGGTAGACATCTCCTGTTATTTGATGAGCTCCTTCCACATTCAGATCATGACTATCGCTTCTCCTGTTTTCCATCACTTACAGGAAGTGACTTTCAGGAAAAGCACTCATAACATCTGGAACAAAGAATTGTTACTCTGCATGAGGTGTCACCGGTGTGAAACCTTTGATACACAAGAGCAGGAACCAGGGAGACAATCCTTGTAAATTATTTGATGAGCTCCTTCCACATTCACATCATGACTATGGCTTCTCCTGTGTTCATCTCTTACAGGAGGTGGCTTTTGAGAAAAGCTCTCATAACATCTGGAACCAAGAAACGTTATTCTGCATAAGTTGTCACCAGCGTGAAATCTTTCCCGTACAGGAGAAGGAACTTGAGAGACAACCTTTGCAAATTATAAGCTTCTTCCAGATTCAGATCATGACTATGGCTTCTCCTGTTTTTCATCTCCTACAGGAGGTGAGTTTCCAAAAAAGCACTCATAACATCTAGAACAAAGAAACGTTATGCTGCATGAGTTGTCACCAGTGTGAGACTTTTCCCACACAAGAGCAGGAACTTGGGAGATGGCAATCCTAAATTATTTGAGAAGTTTCTTCCTAATTCAGAACATGACTATGGCTTCTCCTGTTTTTCATCTCCTACAGGAGGTGACTTTCAAGAAAAAGCACTCATAACATCTGGAACAAAGAAACGTTATGCTGCATGAGGTGTCTCCAGTGTGAAATCTTTCCTGTACAAGAGGAGGAACTTGGGAGATGACCCCCGAGAACTATTTGATGAGCTCCTTCCACATTCAGAACATGACTATGGCTTCTCCTGTTTTTCAGCTCTTACAGCAGATGACTTTTGAGAAAAGCACTCATAACATCTGGAACCAAGAAATGGTTCCCTGCATGAGTTGTCTTGTGTCTATCGAGATTTGATCTTTTAGCATATTGCTTCCCACAATCTGAACACAAGTAAGGTTTCTCTCCAGTGTGAGCTCTCTGGTGAATACTAAGTAAGTACTTAGATGAAAAGCACCTCCCACATTCGGAACATAAATAAGGCTTTTCCCCAGTATGAGTCCTCTGATGAAAGTTAAGATGCCCTTTCTGGGCAAAATGTTTACCGCATTCCGAGCATGAAAAAGGCTTCTCCCCAGTGTGAGTCCTCTGATGCGAGTTCAGATGTTCCATTTGGGAAAAACACCTTCCGCATTCCGAACACGAAAAGGGCTTTTCTCCTGTGTGAGCTCTATAGTGTTTAATAAGTAAGTGTTTGAAAGAAAAACCCTTTCCACATTCCGAACACAAATATGGCTTCTCTCCCGTGTGAATCCTCTGGTGTGAGATAAGACGTGCCTTCTGGGAAAACAATTTTCCACATTCTAAACATGAATATGGCTTCTCCCCCGTGTGGGTTCTCTTATGTTCAACAAGACTGGTCCTCCAGGTAAAACATTTGCCGCATTCTGAACACGAGAATGGCTTCTCCCCTGTGTGGCTCATCTGATGGGATGTAACGTGGTCTCTTTGGGAAAAGCATTTCCCGCACACGAGGCAAGGATACGGCTTCTCGGCTAAGTGAGTTCTCTGGTGTCGAGTGAGTTGCTGCTTTTGAGAGAAACATTTTCCACATTCCAAACATGAATATGGATTCTCACCTGTATGAATTAGTCCATGTCGGACCAAAGACGATTTACTGGGGAAACTTTGTCGCACTCAGGACAGGAAAATGGCTTCTCCCCTGAGTGAATTCTCTCATGTGTGGTAAGATTCCACCTCTTGGCAAAACATTTCCCACATTCGGAACATGCATATGGCTTCACCCCCGTGTGAGTGCTCTGATGAGCAACGAGATGGGCTTTCTGGGCAAAAGATTTTCCACATTCAGAACAAAAAAACAGTTTTTCCCCTGGGTGAACTTTTTGGTGTGAGGTGAGGTCACCAGGTGAACATTCACCACTTACAGGACACAGGTACGTTGGATCCCTTTTATGGTTTGCACGATGGGTGGTGGGAGGTGTGTGAGCAAGAAAGCGATCCCCATGTATAGAGGAACCAGATGAGAGATCTGCACTGCAAGGTGGCGGATGGAGATTTGGGGTAATGGGGATTTCTTCTAAAAAATTTAATGTGATGTCATCATCTTCCAATGCTGGAGAGATAGCTGGATCCTGGTTCTCATTATTTCTGTTGCATTGAACGTCTGGCAGAAATAAGAAATTTAGGTAAATAAAAGGATAAAGCGGAAGTCCACACAATTACATCGGTCAAGCTTGGACCAGGCAAAGTATGTATGTGCCATACCTGTAGGATACCTATGGAATCTGGAAATCACTGTAATAGGTACTTCTACTCCAGTGATCTCCACCAGCTCCCGATCCAGTGCTAAGCAACTGCACGGCTGTTTACTGAACACAGGAGGTTGCCCCTTTGGTGTGTGTAATGACTTTTGGGACTGTTTATTAAAAAAAAAAATTATTATATTATTTCAAATTAGGATCCCAGTTGACTGTTAAGGGTTAACATTCTTGAGTGAAATTTTCCTAGATATTTCAAGAGGTTACCACACAGACTTGACATTGAAAGAGGTGATTCAAGAGGGGATGAGATAGGTATCACTATTTGAATTTCGACAGGTGAGCCAACACACCGAACCAAAAGGACAATGATGAGATGGAAACCCCTTGTCTGAAAGCTCTCACAAAACCTCGGAAAGTGTGACAAACTTCTTGAGATGTCACAATAGCTATTGAATAGGAAGGTTTAACTCCAGTCTCTTCTATTTACCCTAATTCTCAAACAATAGTGAAAGCAACTAGACATTCTTTCCGTCACATCGCCTTGAACTGTGTATGCAGCAGAAGATGAAACCTGGGTCATTTCAGATACAAAGAAAAATGTGGTTTATATCAATGGAAATCTTATAAAGATTATATTTCCACACACCAAAATATATTCAACAAAATTTGGGTATTGCATACCACTCAACTAAGTTTGAAGTGATGAAGAAGATGTTTGTGAATTGGGGTAAATTTTATATTTCCAAAAGAAATCAGCTATTCCAAAACAGTTTAAATATTAGGAAAATGAGAAACCAAATGAATTTACATCTTTCTATGGTCCTTATCCAAGAGTTAGTAGTGAAATCAACTATACTTGAATAGGACATATATTTGATACATAAAGACATTTTGTTTCTATCAAAGGATGAGTCATTAAGACCACCAATTCATTTGTGATACCGGACTGTCCCCAGTGGACAGGTGAGGAATATCTCTAAATACGCAACTTCTCAACCATCCAATCATCAAGTCTGTTGGGAGGTCTTTTCGGAACAATGGAATTGGATGATATAAAAATGCCAAACACCTAAACTAGAAAAACTCACAAACTGATGAACTCACTTGCTCACCTGATCACTTCAAGACCTCAAGACTTCTAATAATCACTTCACTTCTTCTGAAAGACTGCTACTACTTCTTGATCACTTCTGAACTTAATCTTCCAACTATTTCTTCACTACTCCTACCACTATATACTGCACTATACTCACTTGCTACCTGGGGCCATTTTGCTGAGAACTTCTAGCTACCATTTTGAAGGAAGAGATTTCCACCGGAGACGCTGATGCTCAGTTAAATTTTGGGAGTGGTGAGACTGTTATAATATTGTAATTTTCTTTGATATTTCCAATTTTCTAAAGACTTATAACATTGTATTTTGTGGTTAGGAATATATTAAGGTTATATATATAATTACTATACTGTTTGAAATTGGTATTAGATTATATATATTGCATATTAATTAATTTGTATTGACACATATGTATAAAACAAACATGCAGCGCTCCTATCAATGATATAAAGCAAATATAAATGTAGAAATATGTATACTACTCTGAAAATGACATTAGGCATATATAGATGCAAGATTGTGTGTAACGCACACAACTATGAGTCACCATGCATAGATAAGTTCATAAATTCATTTCCAAAATAAAAACATGAAGATGGGTGACAGTCTATATGTAGCGAACGAACAATATTCGTGACATCAATGGTGTGGAATGAGAATAGGTTGCACTAACCAGATAGCGCTATGTTAAGCGCATGTAGGTGATGAGATCATCTGGGTGTGAGCATCTGGACCTGGGTGTTCTGACTAGTGGCAGCATCTATCGCCGCATTTCTTTGAGAACGTGCGTGGCACGAAACATGTCAGAAAGCTGCCCTCAGTGACTTTCTACCCACGTGGACTTCTTGGCCCTGATTCACTATTGGGCGTGGGCGCATATTTATGGGCTTAAGCCCAATTTTCATGGGCGTCCGTCATTTTTTACCCTGCAACCTAATTCACTATTGAGCAGAGCCCATAAGCAGATGCCCAATCTAATTCACAAAAAGACACACGCCCGAAATCAGACTCACAAAACAGACTTGCTAAGAAGCACGTCTAAAACCATGAAAAATCACTGCAGAGACATGTTCACTTAGAAATTTGCTTTGCCAAATATCAGGACTTCACTTTAAACAATATCTGCTATTTCCAAAAAAATTAAGAATGTGTTAAAAATCGTTTTTTTTCAAGGAAATCGACACAGTAAAAACCTAGACGCCCGTGCAGTGTCTTTGGCAGATACAACTGAGCATGTGCAGAACACATTTTAGACTTCTGCCATGGGCGTTTGTTTTTTAGCCACTGACTAATAGTGAATCTTACTGTGGATTCCTCTGACAGCCGGCACTCGGTCGTGACTACTGTGTTTAATAAACAGCACTCGGCATATCTTCATGTAATCTAATTAGATTTCCTTAGTTCTAGTGATTCTATTTTTGTTTCTTATCCTTTATAATTATTTCTGTAATGATTTTACTTATTTCAAAGGTCTAGATAATATTTATTTTGACAGCTGAATGTAATAATAAAGGTCCGCAATAAAAAAAAAAAAAAAAAAAAAAAAAAACAGCGTGGGTCCCCCCTCTCATCCTTACCAAGCCCTTCAGGTCTGGTATGGATATTAAGGGGGAACTCCACACTGAAATTTAAAAAAAAAAACAGCGTGGGTCCCCCTCAATATCCATACCAGACCCTTATCCGA